TGCTGGGAAAATTAAAAAGGGGGCGAGGGGCTTAGGGGCAGGCCTCCTAGGTTTCCTCCAGGCAACCCCAGCCTCGTCCCATGATCCCGTCAGGGTCCCAGTCACCCCACACCGACCCCTCACCTTGCTGACTTTCCTGAGTTTAGCTCCAGCGATGGCTGCCGCCAAGCCCGGGGCCCCGGCGCCCCCCCCGCTGGGGCCCTGTGCTACCGGGAGAGGGGGTGCAGGGGGCGGGGCTCCTCCCGCCCCATGTCCCGCAGCTGCAGCCGAGGCCCCCGACGGGGGCAGACCGGGGGGTGGAGGGGGCCCCGGCGGAGGGGGCGGTCCTGGAGGCGGAGGCGGACCCCCAGCTGGGGGAGCAGGTGGGCCTCCTGAAACAGAGAACAGGAACTGCTGAGAGGGAGAAGCCTCGCTCTTCACGGTCCACCTGGCCCGCCCCGTCCTCTGGGTGGCCCCGATGCTGTGGCCACCAGAGCAGTCACCTGCATTGGAGACTCGGCGCTCCAGGTGGTCTGGCTGGCTGGGCTGCCTGTGGGGTGAGGGGGGCGGAGCTGCCATCAGTCAGGGCCCCGAGGGGGACCGGTGGAGCACCAGTTTCTCCTGGACCTCTCTCAGAGGAGCTCCTAAGCCCCACCCAAGCCTTTCCCCAGGGATCCAGAAAGGGATGGGGTCAGGGAAAGCCACGGGGAGGCAGGGACAGGGCGAGGAGACCAAGCATCGAGGCATTCTAGGCAGTTGCATTGTCACCAACACCTGGATTGCAAAACGCCCAAGTCACTCAGCCACCAGATTCTGGACTCAGGGAGTCTGGGGGAGATGGGACGTGAGGGCCAGGAAATCCCACAACTCTGAGTGTCAGGAGTTTCTTGAGCTCCGGGAGGTGGGGGTTCCTGAAATCTGTCAACCCCCAGCCCCTTGGGAGTTGGAACATTCTGGGAATGGGAAGCTGGAGGGGTTCTGAAGTCTAGGCGTCAGGGGCCCTGGACTGCTGGGGACTCCAGCGGTGGTGAGGGGTCCCCAGCCAGGGCCTGGCCCCACCTTTTCTGCTGTTCTGCCTCCTCCGGGGAGGGCCCATTCTGAGCGGACCATGCGGGAGGTGCTGGAGGCATGGGAGGCCCACCTCCTGTAAGGCGAGATTGAAAGGGCCGTGAGTCAGCCAGCTGCCTGCTCCTAGGCTTCCCGGGAATCCTGCCCAGAGGCATGTCCTTCCTCCTTCCAGGGACCCTGGCACTCAGGCCCAGGAGGGGGAACCTGTGAAGGGGGCGGTGCCAGCTTCCCTTGCCCAAGGGGACAAGCCGGGTGTTGTTAAGTTGCCCACGGGGCAGGCTGGGAGGCCAAGGCCCAGGGGACTGTCATGCGCCCCAAAGTTCTGCAGGGTGTAATTTGCAGGAACAAGACCTGAATTCAGACAGGATGTGGTGGCTCACATTTGCAATCTCACTATGGGAGGCCGAGGCTGGAGAATTCTTGAGCCCAGGAGTTCGAGACCAGCCTGGGCAACATAGCGAGCCCTTGTCTCTACAAAACATTTAAAAATTAGTTGGGTGTGGCTGGGCGCGGTGGCTCACGCCTATAATCCTAGCACTTTGGGAGGCCAGGGAGAGGATTGCCTGAGCTCAGGGATTCGAGACCAGCCTGGGCAACTTGGGGGGACTTCATCTCTACAACAAATCAAAAAACTTGCTGGGCATGATGACGCATGCCTGTAGTTCCAGCTACTTAGAAGGCTGGGGCGGAAGGATCACGTGAGCCCAGCAGGTCGAGGCTGCAGTGGCCGGGAGTGCCACTGCCCTTCAGCCTGGGTGACAGAGTGAGACTCCAGCTCAAAAAAAAAAATTAGCTGGGTGGTGGCACACACCTGTGGTCCAAGCTACTGGGGAGGCTGAGGTGGGGAGGATTGTGCCACTGTACTCTAGCCTGGGTGACAGAGTGAGACTCTGATTCAAAAAAGAAGAAGAAATGCAGCATTTTCTTCTCCTCCTCCCCAGTCCTCGCCTCCTCCCCAGTCCACCTGTATCAGAGTCTGAACTTTAACCAGATCCCCAGATTATTTGCACACACACTAAGGTTTAAGAAACACCAACCGGAGACTTTCTCTAAAATGAATACCTTAAAACTAACTGATGATGACATTAGTCAGTACAACAGGTTCCCAGGAAAAAGGCCCAAGAAGCCTTCTGGAGGCTGGAAGTATCTATATCTTTTTTCTTTCTTTTTTTTTTTGAGTGGGAGACTCACTCTGTCATCCAGACTGGAGTGCAGTGGCACGCTCACAGCCACCGCAGCCTCAACCTGCTGAGCTCAGGTGAACCTTCTGCCTCAGTCTTCCAAGTAGCTGGAACTACAGGCCCATGCTACCACGCCCAGCTCATTTTTTAAAAATTTATTGTAGAGACAAGCAAGGTCTCACCATGCTGCCCAGGCTGGTCTCGAACCCGCAGGCTCAGGCAATTCTCTTGCCTCGGCCTCCCAAAATGCTGGGATTATAGGCTTGAGCCACCGCACCCAGCCAAGAAGTAACTATATCTTGATCTGGGAGGTGGGCGCAGTGAGTGAGCATGTGTAAAATTCACAGAGCATACTGTATCCTTAGGGATTGCACGGTTTTTTGTATGTTTGTTTGTTTAGTTGGGGTCTCACTCTATCGCCTAGGCTGGAGTGCAGTGGCACACTCACACCCATGGTAGCCTTAACCTGCTGGGCTCAGGGGATCCTTCCACCTCAGCCTTCCAAGTAGCTGGAACTACAGGCATGTGCCACCA